CGCCCCCTGCGTTATGAGGAAATCCAGAAACAGTTGCACCACAGGCCCATTTACTCAAGTCATAATTGATCGAATTTGGATGAGAGAGGGAGAGAGAGGGAGAGAGGGAGAGAGAGGGAGATCGAAAGAAAAAGCATAAAGGGCTAGCAAGGATTGAGAATCAGAAGCGGAAAGGAATTGACTCTCCATTCCGTTAGGGTCTGCAGCGAGGGCTGCTAATAGAGATTTAAAAACATGCTACTCGGGATTCCAAATGTGTCACGCTTGATTAGAAAGCTGTTTCAGAAAATCTGCAAGAAAGTGACGCTACAATTAATAGAAGGAGGCCCAATTAGCCTTTAATCTATGTCTTTTTAACAAACCCTCTTTTAAACAAGAGGCTTTTGATCATTATGTGCTCCTTGAAATTTGGACTCCCCTCACCGCACACTATTAACTCACTGGCACCCCAACAACATAGCTTCACAAGGTCAGATGATTCCAAGCCATAACTCCTTTATTGATTTTTCTGGTATGAAATCCAGCGCCTTCCTGCAAAAGTGCAGAAGAACCGTGGTCTGGAGCAAAGGCAGGCTGGCTGGCTGGCTGGCTGGGCAACCCAGAGAGTTGAATGCGGATATTTTGGATAGAGATGATGGTTGGTTTGAAAAGGGGGGTAAAAGAATCCATCCATGTTAGAATTGAACACCCCTCCCTCAACAGAGGATGAGGAATAAGACACCATCTATCTCCAGTTTACAATACAGCCCTTGCAGCAGTTCCAAGAAGATTCCACGACCTATTGCATCCTGATTCAGGTGACCCTGAGGGCACAGAAAAACCCTCAAGTGGCCTCAAGAATTCTCAGGAAGAGTGCAAATGACCAGAGGGCTGCAAAGAAATACAGTCCTTCCATCTCCCTCATACTATCAGTACCTATCCTTCCTTCCCCCCTGCACCACCCAGTCTCAACCGTCAGTACCTATCCTCCCCATCAAAACTGATGAAGCTCCTTGGATGAGAAGAAAAATGTTTTGTTTTTCTTCCTCAAGGAGGAAAAAAAACGCAGTCCGGTTGTCTTCTGAAGAAAAAAGCACCTTGGAGACAACCATGACCTGGATGACTGAGAACCTCCACAGATCTAGGAGTTGAAGTTCACACATCTTCAAGTGGCCAAGACTGAGAAACATGACACTAGAGAGAACCTGAGGCTCTCCACAGGTGTGGACTTCAATTCCCACTATCCTCAGTCTGAGGGTTATGGAAATGGGTCACATCTATCTGGAAGGCTCTATGCCAAGTAGCTTGCAGGATAAAACAGATATGATGTTCATTTTTTTTCATCTAAGTAATGTGTCTACGATTGCGTTTGAAGACGCGACAAATGACATCCTGCCCTAAACAATACTCTCAGAAGCTCTTTGGACTAATTGGGAAATCTTCATTAGTGCCAACGGAAAATGTTCTCTGAAAGCAAACAGCAGCTTCAAAGACACCTTCATCCTCCTTGTGGAAGCTGCTGTTTCCCGATGGAAGGAAGTGCAGTTGCTTTCTTTTTAAGGTAATGTGCTCGTTCTTTCTTTGCTGCCTTGGCTTATCTTGAAGACCCCAAGTCAGTCCTCATTTCCCTCTAGCTGTAGGAGAAGAAGAGGCAGAGCCAGGAGGCAGGAGGTCGAATCAAGAGAGGTTTTTAGTCTAGTAAAAACAAGGACTAGGGGTGACATGATAGCAGTGTTCCAGTATTTGAGGGGCTGTCACAAAGAAGGGGGGGGCAACCTTTTTTCCAAAGCACCACAAGGCAGGAGAAGAAGCAATGGATGGAAACTAATCAAGGAGAGAAGCAACCAAGAACTAAGGAGAAATTTCCTGACAGAACAATTACTCAGTCGAATGCCTTGCCTCTAGAAGTCATGGGTGCTCCATCACTGGAGGCTTTTAAGAAGAGACTGGATAGCCATTTGTCTGAAATGATATAGAGTCTCCTGCTTGAGCAGGGGGTTGGGCTAGAAGACCTCCAAGGCCCCTTCCAGTTCTATTCTGATTGACTCAATACTTACTCCAGTCCCTTGCTCAAGCAGGAGACCCTATACCATTTCAGACAAGTGGCTGTCCAGTCTCTTCTTAAAAGCCTCCAGTGATGAAGCACCCACAATGTCTGAAGGCAAGCCCTTCCACTGCTTGATTGTCCTCATTGTCAGGAAGTTTCTCCTTAATTCTAGGTAGCTTCTCTCCTTGATTAGTTTCCATCCATTGATTCTTGTCTTGCCTTCTGGTGCTTTGGAAAATAGGTTAACAAGGTTAGAGACAGATACACTATGCCAGTGGTGGCGAACCTATGGCCCGGGTGCCAGAGGCGGCACTCAGAGCCCTCTCTGTGGGCACGCACGCCATCGCCCCAGTCCTAGGCCTTCAGCTGGGTTTTATAAAACTTTTTCGCTTTAGGCCTCCGCCGCCGTATGCAAAAAAAAAAAAAGGTTCAATCAGTCAATTTCAACTTCTCGCGGGGAAAAACAAGATCTTGCAAAGTTGGAATTGATTGATTGAACTTTTTAGCCCCACCCAGTCTGCCATTACCATCACAGCTACCCCCACCCAATGGGCCACGCCCACCCAATGGGCCATGCCCACCCGGCACCCGATGATGCATAAGTGGGTTTTGGGTTGCAGTTTGGGCACTCAGTCTCTAAAAGGTTCACCATCACTGCACTATGCAGTCATTAGGAGAAAAAAATCAAGCTTGGTGGCACATAATAAATCATATTCACATAACAAGCTAAGTCATGTTTTGATAGACTACGAGAAAGGATTAACAATGCATGACAACCCAATGCCAAATTAACCATTGGGTTTCCTTTGATTTAGCTTCTCCCAGTAAGAAGCATCTGGGCTTAGGAGCTAAGCCAGATCATTTTAAGTAATCCTCACTGAGAAGACTTTCAGGAAATCCCAGGGTCATGTACAGCACGTTAGGCTGGAAAGTAGAAAAAAAATTCTACAAAAAAGGCAATTCAGTCCATTTCCATTCTGCTGCCAGGACATCACTAGGGATCAACTTCAAAAAAGGAGATTTTTTTTTTAGAGGTAGTATTTCCTCCAGTCAGACCGAAAAGAGGGCCACTGCCTCATAATTTCAGAGTATAATTCCATTGTGCACAATTACAAGTTTTAGAAACTTCATTTGCAAAATCGTAGGGGCTTAAACCTTTATTTATTAATTTATCTGAAGCCTGAAGATTTAAGAGCGTGCCGTTTGGAAGCAACAAGGGAGTGTCACAGGAGTAGGCAACCCAGAGAATTTTAAATGACTGTGTGCATGTAGTTAGCTGTATAATTAGCCACATAACTCAAGCATGCAACCCTTGTCCAAGTGACTTTGCTACACTTAAGCGAAACGTTTGGGGCATGAGACATCCATCATCCCTTATCAGGAAAACAGGCTTGGGAATTGCAGCTGCAGAACTAACTAATTTTTTGGAAAGCAATTTTTAAACCACATTTTAATGTGCTATTTATAGAAGGTTCCCTCTGTAAGCCTTAATGAACCCCAGGTTGCGAACCTTATGCTTGTTACATCACATGAGGCCCAAAAATATGGAAATGAACTCACAGTTGTACAAGATAACTTTGAAATCAACTGTGCAGCTGCACCAGAAACTGGACATTGTCAACAGATCAGCAGGAACAAACAGCTCCTTGAAACAATCTAAATGTGCAGTCTGAAAGTCCCAAAGAATTCCCTCTTGGTTTACCCAAAGGGGGAGAAAAAACCTTCCAGAGTTCCCACAACCCTAGTGTGAAGGGGGGTGCTAGTGCCCGCCCAACGCTCATGGCATTGCTAGTGCCCACGCAACGCCGTAACGCTAGTGCAAGCGGGGGGATGTGAGCGCGCACACACTTGTGCATTGGCCAGCCACTCATGTGGCACAGTGGCCAACAGCCCGTGGCCCGGTAGTGGTGACCTCTGACCTGGATGACTGAGAATCTCCATAGACACTTCCAGAGTTTCCATTTTTAAGCCAATTTTTGCTATCAGGCAAAAGAATCAGAAGTCTGGTAGCCTCTTTTTGGAAGCTTTTGCCTTTGAATAAAATTCATTGCCTTTTCTGAAGAAACTGCACAGGCAGAATGTTTGGGGTCTCCTGCTTGAGCAGGGAATTGGACTAAAAGACCGCCAAGGTCCTTTTCAACTCTGCTTTTCTGAGTTATTCTGCAGTAGCCCCTGCTCTGTGGCATACCCTCCCCTGGAAGAGCAGAATGGCCCCAACCCCATTGGTCTTTCAGAAAGCTTTAAAAACCTGGCTGTGATCCTGAGCCTGCAGTACTGAATGGACCCCCTTCCCTGCTTTATTGTTAAACAGCCAAATATTTCAGCCGCTATGTATAATTATTTGGGATTCTTTATTGCTTTAAAATATTTCTTATTGTTTTAACTGTGGTATATTTTTTTGAATTGTAAGCCATCGAGAACCATTTCTTGAAATAGGCAACTGTAGAAATTGGATGGATGGATGGATGCATGGACAGATGGAGAGATGATAGATAGATAGATAGATAGATAGATGATAGATAGATAGATAGATAGATAGATAGATAGATAGATAGATAGATAGATAGATAGATGATAGATAGATAGATAGATAGATAGATAGATAGATAGATAGATATCACAGACAGACAGGCAGACAGAAAGATTTAATAAAAATTGGAAAAGGTGTTACTAGATTCCTAATTGGCCACCAAGGACTGACCCAGCTCTCTTCTTATAATGTTATTGGGCATCATCAAAACACAACTGATTATTATTATTATTATTATTGAGCATATGATGAGAACATGATAGAAGAGAAATAAATACAACTGATCAATCGACGTCCTATAATTCTCTCAGGTTTTGCCCCTGGCCAGCCTGTTTTTCCTGCTTGCACAGGAACTGTAAGCAGCAGTTTAAATTCTAATCTCAACATTTGCAAGCCAAACAAGAGCTGCATGCAGGATGCAACGCCAGAATTGCCTCTACATACGGATGCAGAAGTCCCCGCTCTCGTAATATCCCGGGCAGCACTGAGACCGTCGCCGATACATCGTCCTCAGTCCCCTCCGATAGGCCGTTTTATAACTGATTCTAAATGGTGAGAGAGGAAGGGAAAAAAAAAACCCTGAAAATCAATGCCCATAGTTATAATTCTATTTGTGTTACATTACTGCAAGGTTGTTATATTCAATATTTGCTTCAGAATGTGCAAAGGTTTTTGATATTTAAAAAGATCGATACAAATTCCAGCTCCTATCCATTCGGCTATATTCTAAGCGGTTTTCATGCTAGGTCCAAGAGAAGATTTATGCAGGCAAGATACAGAAAGGAAAAGAAAAGGGAATGGAATATGGAATATGGAATATGGAATATGGAATATGGAATATGGAATATGGAATATGGAATATGGAATAGAATAGAATAGAATAGAATAGAATAGAATAGAATAGAATAGAATAGAATAGAAAATATGGAACAGAACAGAACAGAATAGGACTTGGGTTTGGCTAGTCTAAAGAAAAGAAGAAATAGGGGAGACATGATAGCAGTATTCCAGTATCTGAGGGGCTGTCACAAAGAAGAGGGGGTCACATTATTCACCAAAGCTGGAATTAAGGAGAAACTTCCTGACAGTGAGGACAACCAACCAGTGGAACAGCTTACCTGAAATCATGGGCCTTCCATCACTGGAGATTTTTAAGAAGAGACTAGACAGTCACCTGTCTGAGATGGTATAGGTTTTCCTGCTTGAGCGGGGGGCTGGACTAGAAGACCTCCAAGGTCCCTTCCAGCTCTATTCCATTCTACACCTGATTTGGAGAAAACCTGGCCTAATTTAAGTCTGCTTTTAGACCTTTCCCAGGTGTTTCCAGTGTTTCTTAACCACAATGTATTTTTCAACCTTGATGTATGTCTCAAACTTGATATGTGGAATTCAAGGCAAATAAATTTCAATTCTTGAAGTTTCCTATGCTGGCTGGAGAATTCTAGGAATTGAAGTCCACACATCTTTAAGTTGCTATGGTTGAGAAAGACAGATTTAGCCGGTTTGTTTTCAACAGCAAGAAGAAAAAAGAAGGATGCAACAAGCAGAACGATAGTCCTTTGCTCTTCCTAGTTGCTTCCAACTGGACTGGAAGTGCGAAACGTAAAGCAAATGTATTGCAAATAGGCAGGGCTGGTTAGTCACCCTTTCACAAAAGCTATGGCTATTTTCTCCGGGGGGAAAAAATCAATGTTCAGTCTCTTTAGTGCTGCTGGACTACTTTGCACAAAAGAACCTGTCTTTATCCTCCATGGCTGAAGAGCTTCTCCCAGGCTCAGAAGAAAAGGGAGCTATCCAGAGAGTATGTAACGGAAGAAAAGGTTTGAAAATAACTTCCAATTATCGCTTACCTGTGTCGAGTACACTTGAACCAGTTCAGAATATCTGTGCATCTTGTATAGTAGATCTGATCAAAGGGATGTGCGTATGATTCCTGAACAGTCACCGCGTAGCTAGAAGGGAAGAGACAGGAACCGTTGATCTATGCCCCTCTTTATTTAAGCGTTAAAAGCCCAGATCCCATAAATACAGAACACAGGTAATCATTGACTTACAAATGCAATTGAGTCCAAAATTTCTGTTGAAAAGCAAGACATTTGACCATCTTTCTCGCCACAGTTGTTACGCAAATCACTACAGTTGTTCAGTTAGCAACTTGGTTGTTAAGTGAAACTGGCTTCCCCATTGACTTTGCTTGTCAGGTCACGAAAGGGGGAAACATGAGCCCCGGACACTGCGGCCGTCATAAATGCATATACCAGTTGTCAAATTTTGATCACATGACCAAGGGGATGCTGCAATGGTCATAAGTGTGAGAAACGATCATAAGTCACTTTTTTCAGTGCTGTTGTAACTTAGAATGGTCATTAAACTAATTGTTGCAAGTCGAGGGCCACCTGTACAGAATTACAGAGTTGGAAGGGACCTTGGAGATCTTCTAGTCTAACCCCCTGCCCATGCAGGGGACCCTATACCGTTCAGGACAAATGACAATGATAAAATTGCTAACATGTATACATTTGTTTTTGTTTTAAATAAACCATGGTGGTTAACGACATAAATGGAGAATCTCTTGGTCATGAAGGATCATGTCTAATATTGGGGAGATGATGGAGGTCCACAGTGAATGAGGCAATGATGCAAAGGGCTGTTAAGTATCTCTGGGGGGGTGTACATCTTTTCCACCTGGGGGAATAAAATCTTTAAATGGGGGGGTCCCTGGTATTCTCTCAGTTCAACCCTGAGCAATAAATATTCTCCTTTATTAGAATCTTTAAAATATACACACACACAATATCTATTTTAGACTTCACACTGCAAACACAATTTCATTTCACGGCAACCCTGAGCTACAAATATTCTCCTTTATTAATTTAATTAGGGGCAGATGAAGATGTCAATTTCATTTTCTCTGTTTCCCACTTCTGTGAATCTTTCCAATTCAGTGTTTCCCACTTTTGCAGAAGTGCTGAGTCTGGCTTCTCAGATTAAAAAGCAACAACTGCACTATAGGTATGTATTTCTATACCTTTCTCCAAATGTGCCCTTTTGTTTGTAGATTTGTTGGTAGATTTATTACAGGTATTTCTATATCACTCTACTCCAAAAATGTGTCCAAGCTTAATTAAACACAATACACATCACCTAATAGAACATATTTGTCCTATATCTTCATGAATGTCCCTTTTTGTGCAGATTGGTCCCTAATGACTTTTTTTTTAATTAGTAAATTGCACTGTAAAATTTGGAAAGCGGGACTGGCTTTTTTTATACTTGTATTACGTCACTGCAGGTGAACAGCTGTGTTAGTCTTTAGCACCAAAACTCAAAATGATTTGGGTAGCATTTTTTTCCAACCAATAAGAACATGTGTTAGTTGGAAAAGATACTCCCGCACTTTTTCTGATTTTTTACCATTTTTGTATTGGTTCAAAAATGCTAATGGATTTTGACGGGAAGATAGAGTTATTCTGGAGACTGAATCTATTATATTTAATTAAACAACAATTGATAAGAGATGGCATCAAGAAACAAACATGGATATTTGATCCAGGACGAACTATTTATGACAGGGGTGTCAAATGGCCGGCCCGTGGGCCAGTTACATCATGCAGAGGCCACGCCACCCCAGCTCCTGCAATGCAAAAAGCCACGCTAAGTTGAGACACGTCACATGACACAGCGAGTTTGACACCCGTGATTGAAAACTTTTGAGATGACTTGGGATAGATAAGATGCTGTGGTAAATTTTCTACGAGTGGACTATATAGTAACTGTTAACAGAGAGTTTTGAAACTTTAATTTTGTTTTGTTTTAGTATTATTATTCTTACTGTTAACTACTTTGTTACTAATATAACATATAGAAGAGAGATCCATAATTTGCAAACAGATTTAGTAATTTAAAAATTTGGGGAGGACCTGTTTCGCAAGGGGTGGGAACTAATATTGTAGTAATGTATTAATCAGTATTCAACTAGAGGGGTAACATGTATATATTTGTGTGGTGTTGTTTTGATGCACCTTTTTTTAATGTTTTGATTGTTTTGCATTTGTTGTCTTGTTTTTTGTTTTGTTTTGTTATCTGGGGGCTTTTTTGGTTTGGAGTTTTGAATTTTGTATTTTAACCTTGTCTTGAATAAAATATAGAAGAAAAAAATGCTAAAGGAGAAGCTTTCCAATCCAAGAAGAACTAAACAAATCTCTCCCCCAGCCATAAAATTCTCTGCTCCACGTTGGCAGCAGAACCACTAAAACCGGGTTTCAGGGTCTGAGAGGGCTGGGAAAAACAGAATAAAAGAAATGAAAGGCAAATCTGGACCGCCCATTTCTCGTTCCTGCTTTTCAATAATGATAATAGTAAAAAAGACAGGACATGTACACATTGGCAATGAAAATAGAAAATTTAAACCTCTAAAAACCAATGTACTTAAATTGCCTCCGTAAATGAAAAAAAAACAATCTCAAAAAGAGTGTTCAGCATTCCAGGGACTCTGGATAGCAACTGCCTCGTTTTGAAAGAAGAGAATGAATACAGATAGTCCTCAACGTCCAACTAGCAAATTTTCTGTTGTTAAACAAGACAGTAATTAATGAGTTAATGAGTTTTGCCCCATCTTATGGAAAGAAGTAATAGCAGTGTGTATCTGTATTGTATGCCTGTACACAACACCCACACAAACACACACACACACACAAATACCTATACATACATACACATACACACATATATAATCAGTCTCTGGGGTTTAATTTTTTTTTACTTTGTCTCATTTATACACAGAAGAAGCTATTTTAATCTAAGATAATTTGTAGCAGAAATTAGCTGGTAATTGAGAACCATAAATTGTGAGCTAAGCAGTGGATGTTCACTTTCCCCCATCTGAAACACTGCTCATCTTCTGTTGCCAGCCGGGTGCAAAACAGAGGAGAACAGGGTATTTTCGGAGGGGGCCAGGATTATAGTATGGCTAAAAGATTGGACTTGGACCAGAGAGACCCAATTCCTGTCTGCCAGGTGACCACAGAACTCAGTGCCTAACTGGTCACACTCAGCCCCAGCTTCTCTAGTGGTGCTGCTGTTGCGGGACTAACATTAGGAGAGATTCCTTATGCAAGTTTTCTACCAGACTGCACAAACACTTCCTGGCTATCCAAAGGCACGACCCACTATCCCTCATGTCCATCCACAAAGACTCAGAAGGACACAAGTTTCATCTAACCGGGACTACAGTTGTAACCCCAGCGAAAACAAAGGGAGAAAGAGAATTCCTTGAAGTCTGATTCTCCGCCAATAAGTCAATAAACAGATGCATTGACGTCGACCCAATCTACCAACTGCTGAGAATGAAAGAACTACTTCAACCGCAGCCCCGAAGGCAGCATTTAAAATGAACAAACAGGCACCCCACCACACAGCAACAAAAATCACACACACATACACCCCACAAGAAACCGGACCACGTCTCAACAACAAGAGCCAGCCAAACAAACAACCCGAAACCAGAACATGACTCGGAGGCAAACAAACAAACAAACACCATTTGCATCCCACAGACGATACTTAAACGCCAAAGACCAAGGCCCAGCAACAACAACCAGCCAATCAAACAGCTCGAAGCCAGGCCACGACTCAGAAACATCCAGACAAATAACACCCGCACCAATTTATATCACACAAAAAGGTATTTAAAGGCCAGTGCTCTGACAGACGAGCACAATTCAAAGCGCACGGAAGATGTCCCCCGCTCCCACAAATGGAGACAAAACATTTGCAGCCAAATTGCCAAGCTTGGAGATCAAACCAACAGCCAATTTCTTATGCAAGTATTTGTCAACCTTAGCAGCTTGAAGATGCATGGATTTCAACTCCCAGAATTCCCTAGCCAGCAAAGCTGTCCACACATCTTCAAGCCGCCAAGGTTGACAAACACTCTTTTATGCATTTAGCATTTAGCTGTAGAGAAAGAGAAATACAAGGAAGGGAGGGAGGGAGGGAGGGAGGGAGAAAGGAAGGAAGGAAGGAAGGAAGGAAGGAAGGAAGGAAGGAAGGAAGGAAGGAAGGAAGGAAGGAAGGAGGGAGGGAAGAAAGGAAGGCAACAATAAATTAAATCAGTAAAAACAAACATAACCAAAGCAAGTCAACTCAAGGAGACCATTTTCTTTAATAAGCATTCAGTGAAAAACATCCAGAATTCTTGTTTGTCTCGGGAAGAGCATTTGGCACCCCCAAGATGTTGCACTGAGTCGGGACCCCAACTGACTGGAACCTTGGCACAGCCCAAATTAATTGGGTAGCCTCAGAGGCGCCCCACCTGAGACGAACAAGAAAGAAAACTCACATTCTTCCTGCCTCAAGTTTAATCTCCAAGCAATAAAAAAAAATCTGTCTGCTCCCTGGAAAGCTGCTGATTGCATACAGCTGTCCTAAACAGCGTGGAAAGAGGCCTGAGCAAGAAGTTGCGAAGTTTACTGATTGTTGCACAGGAAACATTTTGACCCTTTAATTCCTGATATTTGTTGCTACCAATATTATCCAACAGGGTTGGCTATCAATATCCAACTGTGTTGTATCAATATGAACCCAGAATAAAGTCATATTGTTATTATTAATTATAATTTCATCCTATTTCTCTTCCAATTGTCACCACTGACTGGCAAATGAAAAAATTAAAAAATGCACAATTTATTCCATTTGTTTGGTACGGTCCTTTAGCTAACCCACAATAAACTAAACTGAATTAGTCTCTAGCACATAGAAGCCTTCTAAAAATACTGTTGGCTTAAGGCTATAAATTTATTAGGTCCTAAGAGGTGTAAGAGGTGTACTTTGATTCTGGTGAGCTAAGAAGGACTAGTCATGCCAAAGAATAGACTGAATTGTTGAAGTGCATGGGGTTGATATAAGAATTAATACTAGCTCATCTGGGATGCTTTTAATCAAATACTGTGCAGTCAGGGTTCGGGATTATTTTTTTCAAGGTCCTAATCTTCCTGGCATTAAGAAAACCAACCTGTGCCGGAATTGTGCAACTGGGATGCTGAAGATCCAGTATAAGAGAACATTTGTAGGTCAGAGTTGAAATGAGGAGTCCTTGGTGCTCTCCGAGCTTGGTTGTTTTCTTGCAGATGTTTCACTACCCAACTAGGTAACATCATCAAGGCTAGAAGGGAATGGGATGTTGGGGTGGGAGGAGAAGGACGACTACTTGATGCTGTCTGGGCTTGGCTGTTTTCTTGCTGATGTTTCATTACCCAACTAGAGAACATCATCAGTGCTGATGGCTAATGAAATGTCTGCCACAAAACAACCAAGCTCAGAGAGCAAAAAAAGGGCCCCACTGCCTCTTAAGCCCACAATGTTCTTTGTCCCTCAGAAAGAAGGTCTCTGTGTTCAGTGGTCTGATTGAGACCAATTTGTTTTGCTTGCTGAGAACTCATTTTTGTGTCCAAAAGTGTCTGCAAAATTTCACCTTAAATAGGGTGGTAACCCTCAAATTTTTGTTCCGAGACCCTAATTTCCCAGGGTCACAAGGGAAGCTCCTCACCTCCATATGTCAGCTACCAGCAAGAAACACCAAAGCAGCATCTATTTAGAGCATCTTTCATTAACATAGAAAACCCAATCAGCTTGATTATTATTTTATGATCCCATGTGCAGCTCTTGACCTCACCCTAACTCAATCTTTTTGACTTGATTTATTGCCATCTAAGTATCACAGTCATCTTGGCCTGAGCAGCCAATCAATTCCAGTATTTAATTTTTGTTTTTCCTTGATTGGATCCCCGGGTTGCTGACTTCTTTCACACAAAATCAATACTGTATTCTTGGACTCAAAATGTACTGTGCCACGGAACTGAAATACAAAATTAAAGGTTTCGTTTCCACTCACATTTGTTCTTGAAAACACTGTGTTATGTGATCAGGAGGGAGGGAGGGAGGGAGGGAGGGAAGGAAGGAAGGAAGGAAGGAAGGAAGGAAGGAAGGAAGGAAGGAAGGACAGAGAACTGGGCCTGGCTCATCCATTTAAGTTGGCAAAGGCTTTCTACCCACAGCTTCTACCTACTATTCTAGCAGATGTAATGGGTTCAGGAGATCCCTAAATTGTGTCCCACTTCTTTCCAAGGCAGCATTGGGGAAGCCGGATTCACTTAACAGCCGTGTTACTCACTTAATAACTGCAGTGATTCACTTAACAACTGTGGCAAGAAAGGTTGTAAAATGGGGCAAAATTCACTTAACAAATGTCTCGCTTAGCAACAGGAGTTTTGGACTCAATTGTGGGTGTAAGTTGAGGATTACAGGGCCTATATGACACGAATGTCCCTTTTTTGATTTTTGAGGAAAGCTCGAATATAAATCTAAGAAATCAAACGGCAGACCCAGGCCAGAGACTCATACAAGGACGCAGCTGGGGAATTGGGGCTCACATAAAAGGAGAAAACGCACGTATATCAGGCATATATTGAATACTGACACTGTAAGCAGAAATGCCTAAGTCCAGAATGCAAGCTCTATCGACCTGTGCACACCAGGGACCCAGGCCTTCAAACGATCAAGAAGATAGCAACTGAGATCTGCTCAATGGCCATACACAATTAGATTGCATTTTGTAATATTATGTTTTATATTCTAAAGCTATACTGGAGAAGGGCCTTGGATTTATTTTTAAATACAAAAATGATGCACACTTACCTTAAAAAAATATTTATTTAGCAAATGGCATCTACAGGGGTCATGCAATTACTGATATGCAATACTAATAAAACACAGTATACACACAAACACAAATATATAGTTCAGGAATGTGAATTATCTCAGTGCAGCTAGATGTTTAGCTATCGAATTATAACATCTATCCTATTGCGATTCTAGGGCGCCATATTATATAGTCTCTGTGTGTGTATGCATACGTGTGTGTATACACACACACACACACATACACATACACATATGTATGTCTGTATGTATGCATGAACTGAAGAAGCTTCTTAGATGAGAAGCGAAGCGTCTTCAAAGAAAAACAAGAGAGTCCAGTTGCCTCCTGAAAAAGGACCTTTGGGATAACTATGACCTGGATGACTGAGACTCTCCATAGACATATGGATATCTGTATTTGCTGATGCTCTACTTAAACAAAATGAAATAAAGTCAATAAATCTTACCTTTCCCAGTGGCTGCAAACATTTGGATCATCTGGGTTTAAGGAGAGGCTTGTTTTTAGAAGGAGAGAGAACACAAAGCCTCTGAAATTCCACCACAAGAGAAGGAAAACCATCTTTGCTGTGTCTAAATAAAGAAAAAAAAACAACGTTGGACAAACAGGCCACTGTTTCCTGCTAAATCAACCGGTTATATTTCAAGTTCATGCCTATTTTAGCATTTGAAAGGATGCAGAAGAAAAAAAGACCCCAAAACCGAATTCATTCATCTTCAGTTCTACTCATAAGAAGGAAAGAAGGATCCATGACCAAGCCCATATATTCAAATATTTAATCCTCTCTTCTCCAGGGATCAACTATTAATAAAGCTACTGATTCTCAAACCCAATGATTTTTAGGCAGTTCCACCCTCAGTTTTTAAAATAAAATGCTTTTGACTTTTTTTCCTGATACAAGGTGCTCTTGCTTCATTTTAATAGTGGTTGTTATTTTATTAGTTAACCAGCGTTTCTCAACCTCAGCAACATTAAGATATGTGGACTTCAACTCCCAGAATTCCCCAGCTGGCTAGGGAATTCTGGGAGTTGAAGTCCACACACCTTAAAGTTGCTGAGGTGAAGAAACGTTGAACTAAGCTGCTATATTTCTCAGCTATTATTTGACCAACAATCAGTCAATTGAACGTTCAGATCTTTTTTAAGAGTCAGAAAAGGAAGATTTTATTTAACTGAAGTTCAAAAAGGTTTCTTTTGTCTCTGCACTGTTACAATTGCTTAGCTTGTTCTGTTCCCTGGATAAGTCTCTCTTGTTTTTTTAATAATCCATATGTTTTATTGTTAAATTATTGAAATACAAAGAAAGATAAAAGAAAAAGACTGCTATATTTAAAAACTGCAAAAAGAAAAAGTTAAACTACTTTGAAGTGATATTTGAACTTTGCATCAAACATTCGTAACTGCTGTTAGTTTCTGTTTAACTTCTAAAAATATACCCCAAATGTTTAAACTGCCTTGCTCTGTGATATATTGTACATATGGCACTCATTCCTGCTTAAATTTGGCAAATTTCTACAGTATTATGAATAGCATTAATTTTGCATTAGTCTTACAGACAATATAGTAAGCAAAGTATCTCTTTTCCATTGTGAGGCTAAGTTTGCTCTTGCTGCAGTCAATTTGTACCTTAGTAAGAGAATAACAGAATTGGAAGGGACCTTGGAGGTTATCTAGTCCAACTCCCTGCGCAAGCAGGAGACCCTATACAGGAACCCCTATTTAAGACCAGAGAGACTTCTTTCAACTAAAGAAAGCCAGTTGAAGCAAACTTGAATTTCAACCATCTCACCTTGGTATGCTCTGAATCCTTTGTAGTTACGGACTGGCCACGTTCAAAGTCTTCATGGGTAGACAGAAGAAAGAACCATGACCCAAAAGATATTCTTCTGAATCTGCAATGAGATAATTCCAGATACAACTCAACAAAAGAGGAAGAGTCAAAGAGATTAAATACGGTAATAAAAATTCTAGGAAAACGCATCTGTTTGAATCAGAAATGCCCCTAGTGTTTGGGAATTCCAGGATACTAGACCAAACCTTTGTGCCAGGGCAAAATTGTGTAATGGAAACAGACCAGAGCACAGGGGAAGAGTGAAATTCATTCAGTTGAACAAATCCTATTTTCAAGGGTGATTTTTGCAACGTATTCCCAAATCGTGTTTCTGATTATGTATTTCAAAGTACTTATGCCTTGTGTTTTGTTTTTTTTAATGTGGCGGACTTCGTGAGAACTTAGGAGAGATTTTCACAAGCTTTTCATTCCATCGGGGTGCAGACTGCCTCGCTCACCGAATGCGCAACGTATGCTCCACGTGTTCTCCTGACAGCCTTTTCCCTCGGAAATCCATTTTTCCCTGATTGCTTTTATGATACCTCTTTTGAGCACTGCCAAATACAATGTCTCAACATTGTAGTAATATTAGTTTTTACTCGCAGGATGTCACCAGGGAAAGGAAGTACACAGTGCTTTAAAAAGCAGGAAAAACCATTGTATTTTCTACACGCCCTGTGGAACTGCCTCGGAGAAATTAATTCAATGAACTGCTCGGTTCCTCTTGATGCAGTTATGAAATTTGCCAGACAACTGGAAGAGCATCAAGAAGTGAGAACACTCCAGAGGGCTGAATCTATCCAAGGTCCCCATCGGCAGCTAAGATTGTTTTTCATAAAAACCTGAGCAGGTGGGTAAAATGAAGGAATGAAGGTCTGACCCCGGGCTCATCTGGAAAAAAAATGACCGCAGAAGAAAGACGGGAGCCAACAGAATTCGCAAAGCAGGTTGGGGGAGGTGTTTTTTTTTATTAATATGAGGTTGGAAGTTTGGAGTAATTTTATACAATATTGTGGCTTGCTTGGTTGCTATTCTTCCAGTTTTGTTTTGCTTTTAATATTTTCCCATATCTGTAGCTGTCTCTAGCCCCTTTATTTTTGAAAACAGGAGCTGGGAATTGCGTTCCCATATTTCATTAAAATGGTTTAACCTCAGATATTATGATCTGATTTAAACTACAAACTTGGGAATACTTGAGTCACATGAATTAATTAGCATTAAAAGTCAGACTTTGCTTGTATCCAAAGTCTCCCGTGGTCTTTGGAGAGAGGAAGAATCTACGTCACTGGTAGCTGAATCGCTCAGAAGTAGTTGCTTCAAGTATTTAGGAGTTGATCTAAGTGATGTAGATTAACAATAATGTTAAAAATATTTTCTTCGTGTGCACTTTGGAGACTTTAAAAAGTCAAAATCTTGACTGGAAGATTTTACTCTTGACGCTAAACAGAGTCCACTTCATTTATTCTAGGAGCATTAGAGAGACTCGGGCAAGTATTCCTTGCCAATTTGAGCCAGGGGCATTCTAGGGTCTGGAGGATGTGGGCACACTCACAAAATGGTGTTAGAGATAATATGGGAGTTGAAGTCCACAAGTCTTAAAGTTGCCAAGGTTGAGGACCCCTGCTTTAGAGGCCGGCCTTGCCTTGACTACCTGGGTCATAACACCAGATTCTGACAGGGAGATTCAATCGGGAAAACTGGATTCCCTTACAATCACTCTGATTTACTTAACAATCCTGGAAAGAAGGTCATAAAAAAGCACGGCTCACTTAACAACTGCTTTAGCAATGGAAATTCTGCTCTCACTTGTGGATATACGTTGAGGATCACCTGGCTACTAATTTTAAAACGCGCTCCCTGTTTGCAAAAAAAAGGGTTTTTTGTATCTACAGTAAATATAAATCAGAATAGTTAGCAGGTGGCATAAAATCAGCCTGGTCCAATGTAAAGCTAGAGAGGGTCATCCAGCTTGTTTTTATTATATCTGAATTTAGGACCTCAGCCCTTCCACCGGCTTTCCAATCGCTCCCCAAAGCTTTCCTCCACTCCCAAAGGAATAGCCGTTTTTCTTCCTCTGCTGCTCCTGGCCTGGCCCCGTCTGCAAACCTTGGAGCAGAAACTCCACTCGCAATGCCTCGAAGCCAACTCTACGAAGCAGCCAAGCAGCCCTGAAAATTATTCCAGGTAGCCTCCAATTCTCAGCAGGGGTGTTCAAATTTAATTACGGAGCCCCACAGAGGAGCTGTTGCTGGGCTCCCCAGAGATCAGTTGCGGCATCTGCTTGGCATCGTGGAATGCCATCTGTGTCGAGAGGGTCAAAGGCCTGTAAATGCAGCCAATTACTTCCCCTGCTGGGATACCAACATTTGTTCCCCAATATAAATCGGTTAATCAGTAGATTATTAACAGATACGCAAAGCTCAACTTAACTATCTTTAAAAAAACCCAACTGAATGACACCCAAAGCGAGACCGCCTCCTGTTGCTGCCAGTGACGTATGAAGCTCTTCTCCCTGTTTACTACCTCCATCAGCTAAGGCTTCCCGCGCACAGAATCTCTGCATGTCGCAGGCTTCTCCCTGGCATTTTAGGTCAGTCGGCCCCTCCGGGATGTGCAAGGACCAAGCTGAATTTTAATCGGATGGCTGGCAAGCAGCTTAATGGGCCAGGGGTCTCCTCTGGGAGGCCATGTAGGGCAGGGTCTGGAAGTTAAATTCTGTGGCTTGAGAGTAGCACTGGAGGGAAGGGGGGAGGAAGATAAAAGAGGAGAGGAGAGGGAAGGAAGGTAAAAGTTGAAGTCCACCCATCTTAAAGTTTCCAAGGTTGAAAAACACTGCTCTAAGAGACATTATTTGCTGAACATTGCCAGCCCCTGCCCTCCCCCACCTCTCACCTGTTATTTCAATACCTTTCAGGTGTGCATGATGAATTCCCATTCTCTACAACAGGGGTGTCAAACTGCTGGCCCGCGGGCCGGATGCATCATACCGTAACCGCGCCCACCCCAGTTCCGGCAATGGGGGAAAAGTCGTGATATGTCGCAACATGTCACGTGACGTGGTGAGTTTGACACCCCTGCTCTACAAGAAGGAAACAGAAAAGTCTATCGGGGACAGAGTCCAAATAAACAGGAACTGAAATACTGCTTTGCAGTTTAAATAAAGGTTTTGGTCGTTTCTTACCATTAACATTATTAGTGCGGACAACAAAATGCAAATGGAGTGTCAAGAAACCACATCATTACTTAGATGCATGGGTTCAAAAGTAGCACTTTTGTGTTTTTAAACCAAGCAATTAAGACTGGGAGAGACAAGGACCCAGCATTTTGGAAGAATACTGATTTTTATAGCCCTTTCCATTTTGCAAAAAAAACAAAAACAAAAACAACCTTTCACGTTCTTACATCATTTTTCCAAGGATCTGAAAATGCTCCTCTAATAGTGCAGAGATTTTGGTTTTACAAGTAGTCCTCTGCTTATGACATCCATTTAGTGGCCATTCAAAGTTACAACAGCACTGAAAAAAAGCGATTTTATGACCATTTTTCACACTGATAACCGCTGCGGCATCCCCGTGGTCACGGGATCAAAATTCAGACACTTGGCAACTGACTCATACTTATGACTGTCGCAGTGTCCCCGGGTCATCTGATCCCTTTTTGCGACTTTCTGACAAGCAGGCCAGATTCACTTAACAACCGTGTTACTAACTGCAGTGATTTGCTTAACAGC